TGTTTTTAAAGATTTTGAAACCCAAGAATAATTCGTTTTTATCAGATTTTTCTAATTCATATTTTTATTCATTTATATAATTTACTAGAGGCCCAGCGTGCATGAAATCGTGCACAGTTAGAGTCCCTAGGCCTAGCCTGGCCTCCATCACATGGCCTCTGCCACCCTGCGACGCTATGTGAAGCTCCCCGCCCCAGGACGCTCCGTGAACCCTGCGACTGCTTTGCGAGGTTCCCTCAGCCCCTCGACTGCTCTGCGAAGCTTGCTGCCGCCCTACACCCTGCGAAGCTCGCCACTAGACGCTCCATAAAACTCCCCCCTCCCCCTACCTGCAACTGCTCTGCGAAATTCCCCTGCCCTGTGACTGCTCCACAAAACTCCCCCACCCCACCACTGCTTCACGAAACTTGCTGCCGTCCAGGTGACTGCTCCGCTAAGCTCACGGCCACCCTGCAAAGCAGCCCGCCAACGCCTCTCCACAGTCCCCAGTCCCACCTCACTGCCAGCCCCCACTCATGGTGAACAGCTCGGGGGCCGGGGGAAGGAGGGGGACTGAGAGGTGCTCCATGCACTTCATGGTGACCAGTTGCCTGTTCGGTCGTGACCGCACCTAGCTCTTTATATATATATTAGGATAGGCTTTAGTTGGTCATATAAATTCATCTACACATGAATTACCACTTTTCGCATGACTCTTAACTCTCACTTAAAATAATCAGTCTTTAAGAACTATTGCGTGGCATTCTGAGGAAGAATGTAAACAATTAATTCTTAGTGTAGGCAAAACACTTGCAGAACGTCATTCTGTCATCTTCCGTGTTAAGTTACTATCCATTGTCCAGCAGTTATCATTCCCACTTACAGGTGATCATATTAATGGAAAATAGGTGTTCCCTTTAAGGCTCAGTTCTTCTTAGTCTGATATATAAGATCTGAGTAATATTGTTTTGTTAATAACCTGCCAGAGGCTGAAGATGGTTAAATGTTTGGGCATTTGGTAACTGAAAAACTTATGACTTGCAGGTCAAAAAGTGTGACAATGTGGTGAGACATTCATGCCTTTTTTGTGGTCATGATAGCTTCGCTGTCAGTTGAACATCTTACTTTCCTTTAACTCCTTACCACAGGCATAACCATTGCCACATCTCTACCT